CGGGATTACGAGACATCGGACAGCAAACAAAGGTGCGAGGGGGGGGGGGCGATAAATTCAATGGCCAACCCAGATTTTAAGGTGGCGTGGACCCACTTGTCCGAAGTGGATTCTTCCCAGACAGTGGCAAAAAGACCCAATCTGCCACCAATGGGAGGATCCAAAGGGCAATCAGCGACGGCGACGGGCGAAACGACCTCCTCCCCCTCGAAAGGGCCGCTTGAAATTAAAGGAACGCCCCCTGAAAGCCCTATCGGAAGAACCCCGCTGTCTGCTGAAAGACACATCTCTCCTAAACGTGGGAAAGGGAGAAAAAAGAGGACCCCCCATCCACCTCGAGAGAAAGAACGAGAAGGATAAGGTGAGAAACGGGGAGCCCCTCTCCGGAAAAACCGCTGCTAAGACCTTCTTTTTGTCCCTGGTTTCTGTGAGGAAAGGCTCTAAAGCGTCCCCGAAAAGCTTCGTGCCCTTGAAGGGAACCGAAGCCAATCGCCACTTGTGTCTGGCATCTGCCTGCCAGTGACGGAGATACAGCAAACGACGGGCCGTGACCGCTGAAGCCAAAGATTTAGCGGAGAACCTGGCAGCATTTAGAGTAGAGTCGGCTGAAAATTGTACGGCAGCCACAATTTTATTCAGGTCTTGTCTGATACGAGCATCTCCTGGAGCTAGCTTGTCTTGTAATTGACGCAACCACAGTAAGGTTGTCCTATTGAAGAAGGAAGCCGTGGTGGTTGCTTTAATCGCCCAGGAAGAACTTTGAAAGGCCTTTTGAAGAACCTGATCCGATCTGCGTTCATCGGGCGAAGTCCTTCGTCAGGCTCGCCCGGAACATTGGAGTTAGGAAGAAGAGCTGCAACTGGAGCATCTACCGAGGGGATTTGAAGAAGAGTCTCAAGATCCGAGGATACTTGAAAGTTTCTTTTGTCATTAGATGAAGGGAGGGGAGCAGATGCTGGGGACTCCCACTGACGTTTCACTACATCCAGAAAGAGAGGAGGGGTAGGAACGGAAGTTATAGGTCTAGCTGGTTCTGCGAACATCGGGTCCAACGATGCAGAAGAAGAAGAGTGGGGAACTGGATCAGCGTTTGGGGAGGATAAACGGGCCGTATTAACAGCCTTGAAAAGCAAGGATTTAAATAAGGCTTGAGGAAAAAGACCTGTGAAGGCTGGTTGATCCGGAGGAAGGTTCTCATCTTCTGACAGGTCAGAATCAGGGTCTCCTTCATCGATCAAAGCTGAAGGGTGGCTGTAGTGAGAAGACGTAGGGGAAGCGGATCGAACTGAATGAGAATCTCCTTCGACACTGTGGCCTGCTGAAAAGGGGGAGGTCTCTCTCACTGATCCATGTTGACTGAAGAAGCCCGAACGGGTGGCTAAGGACCGTTGAACCGCCGCCTCGATCATTTGTTGAAGTTGATCTGGAGGAACGACCGAGTTCAAAGAACAGGCAGGCACAGGGTCAGATGAAGGAGCCTCCGTACCGTTGCTGGATCAGGAACCGGCTGTTGAGAAATTGATTCAGACCCCCACAAATTTTCCTCAGAAATAGTCGCTGGACAATCTTGTAGAGAGAGTTGGTCAGGAGTAGGTGAATGAGGCAAGGCGACTGTAGGTGGATTAGAAGGGGCAGGAGATTGAAGAGTGGAAGGAGGCAACTGGGCGCATGCCTTGTCACATAATCTGGTCAAAACTTTGTCTCTACGTTGTTCCACTTTGGAAGAAGAGGATGACAAGCCACGTGAGGAAGACTTGTGATGAGAACGTGACCGTTGAGAAGTCCTGGAATGTGATCTGGCATCTTCCCTGGCAGATTGCTGGGTAACAGACATGGAGTCTGATTGGCCAACTTCACCTGCACTGGCCTTCCGGCCGTGCTTAGACTTTGAAAGGGCCTTAGGCATGATAAGAAAATTGAGAGTAACGCCCCCCCACACCCCAGATAGTGACTCAATAATCAGAATCTGAATAAGTAAGGGAGCGAGAGGAACTCCACAGGAGGCAGACTCGAAAAATTGTCACTCAATGGTTACACTCAAGGCCAGACAAATTAAGTTGGGAGCGAAAAACTCCACGAACTGGAAGGTGTGGAGGCGATGGTGTGGGGGGGAAGGCTTTGGAGCGTTACTGTAGGAGGGGAGGCAAACAAACAAGTAATCAGGCCAATTAAGGTCACAGGCTTGTGACCGTTATAAAGCGAGCACACGGGTGGGGGCGCGAAGCTCCACTAATTTTTAATGGTGGCCGGCGCCTAAACAACTGCTGCCACAGATTAAGGGGGGCGTGAAGCTCCACTGGGCTCAATGAGAGAAGCCTCCAGATCAAGGCCACTGCAGCGCAGGAGAAGGGGAGGGGGGCGCGAAGCTCCTCAGTTGCGATCACGCAGCCAGCATTTATAATCAGCGAGGATCAGCCACGAGGAAATTAAACAGGCCGCATTTACCGGAAGTAATACAGAGGCGGGGGCGCGAGGCTCCTCAAGCGAGTCACTCAGCCTGCCATGCTTCACCCTCAATTTAAATAGAGGGAGGAAGCAGCCGCAAAGGGAACGTTCCGGCAGGCAGCTTATTTATTGCTCTCCCCCAACGGCGGCAAAATTTGCAGTTTAAAATGGCGGGCGCCGCTATAATTTGCCTCCCGAAACGGCCGCTAAGAAAGGGGCGAAAGTGAAAGTGAACGAGGGAACGAGGAGAGCGCAACGGGAGGCTTGTCCCCCGAAGATCAAGTTCCAAATGCCTTCCCTCGAGGGGATCGAGGGCAAGGAATCCCCACGCCCCTGTTAGAGCCGGGAGAGCCCGTTAGTAACGAAGGTCCACCTCCTCTTCAAAACTCACAACACGATGTCAGGACGTTCCAAGTCAGCCAGAAAAGCAGTCAGTGTCCAAATCGAATCGCTAGAGCACAGTCAAAACAGTCCAAGTCCAAATTTCCGAAAAAAGGCCAATAGGGAGGAAATAAAGGGAGAATTTTAGCCAGAGAGAAGTCCCACACACAGTCAGCGCTGAAGGACTGAGCCAAAAACTGGGCATGCCCGGCAACAAGGCGGGACTAAGAATAATTGACAGGCTCAGTCCTTCAAGCTGATTGGATGGGCAGGCACTACCCACGCTGGCTGCTGTCTCCACTCTCAATGGAGAATGGTTTTCTTGGCCTGGAACTGCTGCTTGGTTCTTTCTCGGAATCCTGCTCTATCTGTTTGTCGATCAGTTCCCTGTGGAAATCTCCTTTGGAAGTAGTCTGGGCAGTCTCTGCTGTCAAAAGGAGGAACTACATACATAAAGCGAGGGTCGTCGATCTGCTTACCTGTGTAAGCATGGCAGGATTTTCCTACCAAGATGGGCTCCATGGCCTCCCCAAATAGTTTGCCACCCTGAAGGGTGCAGAGGCTAGTCTCCATTTGGATTTGGCATCCGCCTGCCAGTTGCGGAGCCACAGCATGCATCAGGCCATCACCGCTGATGCCATAGCCCTGGAAGCGAATTTGGCTGCATCCACCGAGAATTCCGTCGCCATTATCAGATTGGTGACGGCCTGCTGAAGGCCTTGGTTGTCAGCTGGAATCCTGCTTTGCATCTAACACAGCCAGACTAATGAGGCCCTATTGAAAAGTGAGGCAGTCGTGGATGTCCTGATCGCCCAGGCTGCTGCCTGATGAATCCTGCAAAGGGCCAACTCTGTCCTCCTATCCTCTGATTTCAGAGACTCTGCTGTGTCTTGGGACATAAGCTTAGGTGCACATATACTAAAAATGGAACGATACAGGGACACAAGGTTAGATGAAGTTAAAGCTGCTACCAGCCCATCTACTGCTGGTAATTGCAGTTCCTCTGCAAAGTCTGTGGCTATATTATAAAATCTCCTGTCGTTCCCATTTGGGTTGGGATATGTTCCTGGTTGGGTCCATTGTTTTCGGATCACGTCATGGAACAATTCTGGTGAGGGAACCTCCTCATTCTGCACCACTGGTTGTGAAAATAGGAGGGCATTTGGGTCTCGTAGGCCCAAGGGTGCCTTTGAAGTACTAGGTTCCTCCCCCATGTTGGCTGTGGCCTTGACTTTAAACAGGAGAGGCTTGAAGAGGGGAGGTCGGAACTGCCCTGTGAAAGCTAGGGGCTCAGGAGCCAATCCCTCATCTTCTGAGAGACTCCATTCTCGCTGGTCCTTCTCTCCTGAAATCCAAACTCTGTTCTGTTCTGTTCTGGGGTGCCAGGTACTGGCTATGCTCCAGAGCTGAGCCTGATCTCATACAATCCTTCTGGTTCCCCTGTTGCAGGGATGTGACCAGTCCTTGCGTTAAGGATATCAGAAGGCTCATCTGCTCAGAAATTCCTGAGCTTAGACTCTCCCCCGGGTGGGTACCCGCCGCTGTGGGGGTGAAAGTGGCCTCTGTGGCCCTATGCATCCTGTTTTGGTCAGATTCCCCTTCATTCTCTGGCGACAGGTTATTTGCCTGTGAGGATTGCTCTATAGTGCCCTCTAGTAACCAATTTGGGAGGCTTAGATGGCTCTCATCCCTGGCTGTCTCCAAGTGCCCTAAGGAATGGATGCTCTCTTTTGCCCCAGAGAACTCTGTTAGTAATCTTTGTTATGCCTGTCTTTTTGCCTTTGAAATCTCTTTTTCCAGGGCTCTTTCCCTCCTCTGGGCATCCCTTTCCTCAGCTTTAAAAATTTTCCTCTTTGATGTTGCAGGGCTTCTTTGTTCTATCTGGAGATGAACTGAAACCAGTGGTGGGTTTCAAATTTTTTTACTACCGGTTCTGTGGGTGTGGCTTAATGGGCGTGGCATGGCTTGGTGGGCGTGGCAGGGGAAGGATACTGTAAAATCTCCATTCCCTCCCAATCAGCTGGGATTTAGGAGGAAGAGAATAGATGTGGGCGGGGCCAGTCAGAATTTTTACTATCAGTTCTCCGAACTACTCAAAGTTTCCGCTACCAGTTCTCCAGAACTGGTCAGAACTTGCTGAAACCCATCTCTGACTGAAACGGGCGTTGTCTTACCTGAACACCCCTTCTGGTTGTTTGGGGTCCAGTGGTCAGGAACGGGTTAAACTCCCTCCGATATGATTGATTGAGTCTGCTAGCTGAGAAGCTCCTCCTCTTTGCCATGCTTCCCAGCTTTCTGATGAAAGATGATACAGCAGACCGACACGTAGAGCTGAAAAAGAGAGAAAAGTAGGCCGAAAGAGCCGCCGAGCCGGCAAGGGCCTAAACAGAGTGAGGCTGACCACTGGACCCCGAATAATCAGAAGGGGCATTCAGGTAAGACAACGCCCATTCTCGTTGATTCTGGGTCCAGTGGTCAGGAATGGGACATGCCCAAGCAGAGACCTATTGGGAGGGACCCGCCTGAGCCGGAGAGGCTGACCTACTATAGACCTGTTGGAGGACCCTGCGTCCAAAGGCCGCATCCGCTGAGGCAAACCAGTCAAGCTGGTAATACCGGATGAAAGGAGTGGGCGAAGCCCAGGCAGCGGCACGACAGACTTCCTCTAAGGACGCCTGAGTGGCCCAAGCTACCGAGGTAGCCGTGCTGCATGTGGAATGGGCTGTGATGTGACGAGGGACAGGGAGAGACTGGACCTCGTAGGCTTTGGCAATGCTAGCCCTAAGCCAACATCCCAGGGTGGCCGAGGAAACCTTCCCACCCAATGAAGAAGGTTGGAAAGATACGAGGAGGGATTCCGTCTGACGGAAGGCCGAGGTCCTCCTAAGGTAAATACGCAAGGCCTGCCTGACATCTAGGGTGTGCCAGGCCCGTTCCAAAGGGTGGGAAGGGTTGGGACAGAAATCAGGAAGGACAAGTTCCTGAGCCCAATGGAAAGGGGAGTTGACTTTAGGGAGAAAGGTGGGGTCCAATCTAAGAACCACCCTGTCGGGGTGGAAAATGCAAAGGTCCGCCCGCGTGGAAAGGGCCAGTTCCGAAACATGCCTGGCCAAGGTGATGGCCAGGAGGAAGGTTACTTTGTATGAGAGAAACCTCAAGCCGACCTCCCTGAGAGGTTCGAAGGGAGCTCGGATGAGGGCATCCAGAACCCTGGGCAAGTCCCATGTGGGATATCTATGGATAGGGGCTGGACGGAGGTTAGAGGTGCCCCCTGAGGAACTGTCTAATGAGGGGACGATGGGAGAGAGACCCCTTTGTCTCACAGCAAAGGATGGAGGAAAGGGCAGCTACTTGCCTGCGGAGAGAGTTGGGAGCCAAACCTGTGTCCAGACGATCCTGAAGGTACACCAGTATCTGTTCCATAGAGGCCGAGGTAGCGACAATGGAGTTCCTCTGGCACCAGGAAGAGAACGTCCTCCATGTGGAATTGTAAATACGGGTCGTCGAAGGGCGATGGGCTGCCTGGATGGTAACGATGACCCTGGGAGGAAGTTTCCGGTCGCTCAGTCTCCAGGCGGTTAGCTGTAGCCAGCCAGTGTCCGGATGTTGGACGGATCCTTGTCGAAGAATGAGTTGTTCCGGAGGAAGATGCCACGGGGGGGGGGGCAGACGGAAAGGGCCTTCAGATCCGCGAACCAAGGTCGACGAGGCCAATGGGGCGCGATCAGAAGAAGTTCCGCCCTCTCCATCAGCATCTTCTGAATGACTTTGCTTATAAGGGGAAGTGGCAAAAAGGTGTACAGGAGACCGGGAGGCCAGTCGCTGTGCAGAGCGTCCACAGCCTCCGCCTCTGGATCCGGGAACCGGAGAAGAACCTCTGTGTCTGACGGTTGTTCCGAGTGGCGAAAAGTTCCACCCCCGGAATCCCAAAGAGAGACGTGATCTCCCTGTACAGCCGTGGGTCCAGGGCCCATTCACTGTGGCCTGGCTGAGCCAGTCCGTCTGAGTGTTTGTCACCCCCGAAATGTGAGTGGCCCATAAGGACTACAGATGAGACTCCACCCAGGCTCCCAGCCTCTTGGCCTCCTCCATGAGGTGCCAAGGCAGTTTCATGGGCCTTGGCAGCCACGTTGTCCGTCCTGATCAGTACGTCTGTCCTTCACCTTGTGAACGAAGACCCTGAGAGCCAGGTGCATGACCCGGAGCTCTAACCAGTTTATGTTGTGCTCCAAATCCACCCGGGTCCAACGCCTCTGGGCGCGAGATGAAGAGAGATGGGCACCCCAGCCATGAAGGCTGGCGTCCATGGTCAGAATAAGACAGTGGGATTCCCTGAACTCCCTCCCCCGAAGAAGGGCCTCCAAACTCCACCATTTGAGGGACAGGAGAACTTTGGGAGGAAGACGAACCACCCTGTGGGAATTCCCCAGATGTCGTTTTTGGAAGGGAAGGAGAAACCACTGTAGATGTCTGCAGTGTAGACGGGCCCAGGGAACTATCCCGATGCATGATACCATCTTCCCCAGGAGTTGGGAAAGTGACGCCAGGGAAGAGACCCTCCGTGTTGTCACTGACCTGACCAGAGACCGCAAGCTGGACAGGCGATCCTGGGAAAGATAGACCCTGCACTCCATCGTGTCTATGATGGCCCCCAGATGCTGGAAGCAAGTAGTCAGCAGCAGGTGACTCTTGGCCAAATTGACAGAGTACCCGTGGCTCCTCAAGACCTGTAGAGTGGAGGCCAGGTCTTGATGTGCTAGCCGCTCCGAGAAAGACTGGATAAGGAGGTCGTCCAGGTAGAACTGCATCCTTATTGGCAGTGTCCGGAGGTGGCCTGCCAGCGCGGCCATCAATTTAGTAAACACTCGGAGGGCCGAGGAAAGGCCCAATGGGAGAGCCCGGTACTGGTAATGTCTGTTCATGAAACAGAACCTGAGGAAACGATGGTAGGAGGGGCGGATGGGGACATGGAGATACAAAAGGCCCAATGGGAGACCCTGGTACTGGTAACGTCTGTTCACGAAACAGAACCTGAGGAAACGACAGTAGGAGGGGCGGATGGGGACATGGAGATACGTCAGACGATAGACGTGAGGTAATCCCTGACCCTGATGCCCTCCAAGGTGGACTGGAGGGACTGCATCTTGAATCGCTGTTATGCAATCTGGCGATTCAGGGACTTGAGGTCGAGAATTGCCCTCCATCCCCCCAATGATTTCCGAATAACGAATAGGCGTGAATAGAAGCCTTGTTCGTGCTGCTCCTGAGGCACCGGTTCGATGGCCTGAATTTCGAGAAGATGTTGAATGGCCGATGCCACCAGGAGCCTGGAGGACCTGTCCCGGGACAGGGGACAGCGAAGAAACCGGTCGGGAGGAATGAAGAGGAATTCTAGAGAGAGGCCAAATCTGACCGTCTCCCTGACCCAAACGTCCGACAAGGTAGCCTCCCATTGGCTGGCGAAGGACGCCAGGTGGCCCCCAATGGGAAGTGAGGCCGGACCATCATCGTGATCTGCAGAAACCCCACCCCCTGCCCCCTCAAAAGGGACGTTTAGATTGACCCTGGGATGAAGAAGAGAAACCTTGTCTGTCGTGGGGTCGAAATTGTCTAGGGGGAAAGGACCTTTGTCTACGGGTCCCCGTAAATCCTCCGTCAGGGCTCCTAAAGGGTCGAAAGGTTGACTGAGACCTAGCGTCCGACCAACGGGACAAATTGGGGAGGATGCGGCGTTTATCCTTGGACTCCACCAGAAGAGGATCCAGGGAGGTTCCAAAAAGCTCGGACCCCTCAAAGGGGGAAGTGGCTAGGCGCCATTTAGATTTGGCATCAGCCTGCCACTGGTGAAGCCAGAGCAGGCAACGGGCAGCTACAGAGGAACCACTGGCTTTGGCAGCGAAGCGTGAAGAATTTAACGTAGCGTCCGCTGAATATTCTAATGCCACAATGACCTTGCTTATGTCTTGTTGGGCCCATAGATCAGAAATAGGGAGGGGGGCCTGTAGTTGACGTAACCAAAGGATGGAAGCCCGATTAAAAAAGGAAGCGGCCAAGGCCTATTTAACTGACCAGGCCATGGCCTGATGGGATCTAACCAAGGAATTCTCTAGGCACCATCCTCTGGGTGGAGGTTGTCCTCTGGGGGCCCTGTCAAATTAGAGGTAGCCGACAATTCAGCCACTGGTTGGTCGACCGAAGGGACTTGCAAGATAGAAGCTAATTCAGGAGCCAAATTGTAGATGCACCTGTCCACCGCATTAGGGCTAGGGCCCAAGGCCGGGGATGACCATTGACGTTGTAACACGTCCCTAAATAGCTTAGGCCCTGGGATTTCCTCGGTTTCGATAGCTGGTTCCTCAAAAAGGGGAACCGCTGTGGACACCCCCTCTCCCGGGCCGGCATCCGGTGGTCTAGTGGTTCCTAACCCCATGGTGGCCTTGGCTTTGTGGAGAAGAGAACGAAACAATTGAGGCTTAAAGAGACCAACAAAAGCTGGTTGGTCAGGGGCTAAATCCTCATCTTCCGACATCTCCTGATCTAGGAGATTAGCTCCAGGTAAAGATTCCTGTCCAGATGAGCAGGCAGATGCCACTCTAGTCTGGCCAGACCTTAGAATCCCAGTATCCTGTGTGATAGCCTGGTCAGTAGAAATGATGGAGCCCTCAACCTCTACCTGAGAACAGGCTTGGTCAGAAACCCATGAAGAGGTTCTTTGGAGAAGTTCCTGTCTAACCCCTTCCCGGATTGCCTCCTGGATATATGAAGCCAGGACAGGAGTGATGAGAGCCTCAGGAGCCAATGGGACTGGGGCCAGGGGGGCATCAGACTGTGCCGGTTGTTCCAAGGGTTGAGGATGGACAGGGCTGGGAGGAGGCTCCGATTGAACCCCAAATAGTGTAACATTGACCTCCTTCTGACCCTCAGCCAATAAGGGATCCCCATTCAGGGATAATGCAGGAGTAAGGGCCTGGGGTAATGGGAACCTCTTTGTGTTTGAGGAGAAGCCCTAGGAGGAGGAGCTGACTGAGGGCTAAGTATGACCTTCTCCCGTAAGGAGGCCTCCTTGGCAGCCTTTTGAATGACCTTTTCTATGGCCTTGTGGAGCTTTAACTCCTCTTTGGCCAAGGCTGCAGCCGACTGGGAGGCCTTGGATGTTCCAGAAGAATAGTGGGTTTTCCTGCTTTTCTTAGCCGGAACTGGGGCAGATCCTCTTGAAGGCGTTGCTTGGAAGCCTTGGTCTGCCTCTGAGAAGCCATCTTGTCTCTAGGAATAAGGACGAAATGAATAAACTATTTCCAAGCCTTCCAGTCAGGAGATGTAATAATTAGGCTTAGGTCACTAACTGCCCCAATTACTGAAGGCTTCCAAGCTAATGGCGATCTGGCATAACCAGGCAGACCAACTGCCTGAATTTGTGTAGGCCTCTAAAAGCCACGAGGCAGAATCAAAATGGCCGATTCAAAATGGCCACCGGGGGAAAAACAACGGTGACTGGTGAATAAGGAGCTTCCCCCCATCCAGTACCTGTCACCTGAAGACTTCTGTCTTTAAGGGAGATGACCAGACAGTCTGGTCCACCCACAGAGCCGAGATCTCCGCCCCAAAAACCGCTCTGTTGTTCCGTCACCGCTAGGCAGCCGCCCGACAAACCGCAGCTGCAATTCGAGCCCCCGATTCCACGTGAAAGGCGATTTGAATCGCTGCGGTGAAAAAAACCTCTGGAAGGAGACGGCGGCGGCAGCAGAGTCGGCTAGGCGTCCTAATCGCTTACTCCCAAGCCCCTTCGCATTCAAGGTGGGCGGCTCCAGCAACCTAAGGTTGCTAGCGGTTTCAGGCGTTAGCCTTTCGCGCTGTTGTGAGGGCTAGGCTCAACCGGCCGGGAACCTGCAGCCCCCACTCAGCCAATGATGGCCTTCAGCGGGCTCGGGTGCAAACCCCTTCTCGCTGGAATGCTCTACCTGAAATTTCTGGGAGCAGTGGTAGGAACAAAATGCAAAAGAAATACTTTTGCCAGGAGCTCAGCTCAAACATGTCTTTCTCAATCGGACTGAGTCAGAAAGCTGGGAAGCATACCAAAGAGGAGGAGCTTCTCAGCTAGCAGACGCAATCAATCATATCGGAGGGAGTTTAACCCGCTCCTGACCACTGGACCCAGAATCAACGAGAACCCCCCTTTTCCCCCCACTCATATGAGCCACTTCATAGCTTTCTGATGTAGCAGTATTCTCTATCCTTTTATATGCTGGGGATTTTCCTGACCCCTGCCAGGGAGGCGCCAGGATGTCTGCTGAGGAAAGCGTGCCAAACATTGGCTCTTCTGGGAAGGAGCCGGAAATGGCGCCTAGGCTTAGTGACTTAGAACTCCCGCCACTTGATTTGGGGCTGGCGGACAAGCCGGTTAGCCAGCACTCTCCTTTCAGCGGATGTGCCCTGGAAGATCCGGTTTTTCTTTGTAGCGGTGCTGGTCAGACCGGGTAGCCTGCTAATTAGTTGTAGCGGCTGTCGGGCAGCCAGCTGGTTCTTCCTGGCAGTGTCCTACCCCTCCTGACTAGCAGTGTCCTTCAAGGACCTCTCTCACGCACCGAAAAAGTCATTTAAATCTAAGCCGCACGGCTGCGGCGTTCCTTAAAGTCTTCCTGTGCTGATCAGCTGTTTTTTGGCTTCTGGCCTTGCAGCCATAATTCCACGGTGCATTGATTCAAACCATTCCCAGCTCTCAGCTGATTGCCCTGTACTTCCCCAGCGCTCTACAGCTGACTTCAGTAAATAGCTAACAGAAACAGACCTTCCTTCTAGCCAGGCACCCCTGAAGCACCGCTTCCAATGTTCCGCCTTTCCCTTCGTCTCAGCTGCCCTTAAAGCAGCTGAGTCTCTGACATCTGGAAGGCTGAGTTAAACTGCTTACTTAACTTTGATAGATTCCTCTCTGATCTGAGAATCCAAAGTAAAAACAAAGTAACTATAATCCTTTGCTCTGAATAGCTCTACTAAACACGTCTCTCTCGGATATAAGACTGAATCAAACTGGGGGTCAGCCAGGAGAGGCATGGCAAAAAGTTAAAAGGATTCAGTCTCTAAAAAGAAGAAGGCAGAGTCAACACCCATACTTTGGATTCTCACGTCAGCCCATCAGAGAACATATGTACCTCTGAAGGCTAGATAGATCTATATATATAGTCTTTTCTTGGTCTGTTCCCGATTGTTTTGGATCTGGCTATTCCTTCTCTGTAATTTGGATATGGTTTCTTCTTGGATCAGCAGGTTCCCGTTAACAGCACATAGGGCATGAAAAATTCTTTGTGACTTGCTTAGGTAGATGAAAAGTGGAGGTGGAACAAAACAAAATTCAAAATTTAAACTGCAATACACCTAGGCTTATATTCACCAATACAGAACTAATTTATAGTCTTGCTTTCAATTATCTCCCCTACCCCATTCTCTTAGATAAGCAGCTATCTTGCCTGTTCAATAAGCTTCCTTATTCTGATATATTTAGAAGATCATACATTTGGTGTTTTATATTCAGCAATTCTGTCTTCAACTTCTTTATACAGATCTCCTTATAATTAACATTATTTCTCTAGAATAAAACTCTTTATATCTTCAACTCAGGTTTTTATAGCCGCATCAAGAGTCTTCTGCATGTAATACCAGTTAGAAAAAGATCCATATATTTTTAATTATGGTTCATTTAAAATTTACTACATATATCTTTACTCACCATATTTTAGATATTAAAACACTTAAAAGGAATTTTTGAAATATTGATCTGGAACACAGCTTCCAAAAAATACATTATGGTGTTTTGAACAACTTTCAACTTAACATCCATTTTGACTGTAGTGGCATTTTCCAATAATTTCCCAGCAAAAATATCTTGTCGCTATTAAAACTAAACAAATGCTTTTCTTTTAGTTTGTCCAAAGGCAAAATCAATATTTATAAATTGTTTATTTTTCATGGTGTCAGTTTATATACATTGAGCCAGTCTGTGACATTTCTCTGCCATGTTATTGACTATTCATTTTTGTATGCACTGCAGAAGAGTTCTGGAAACAAATTATATGTTTCTTGTTCTGGAGTTTGACTACATTTCACATTATTGCCTTCCAAATTTATTATCCTACTTCAAAAAGTCAAGAACAAACTTTCTCTTTTGGGCGGGGGGGGGGGGCGGGGGAGTAGAGTGACTAGTTTGATAGACAAAAGGATTAATATAGATGTGATGTTTCTTGATCCCATTAAAGTGATAAGGTTTTTCATGATAATAAGTTAAATAATACAGTAGTGTAACACCAAAACGTCATTCATAAATGGTTTAGCATTGTCTTGGAGGACAGTACAGTAATTCATGAGGTCCCCCAAGGATCCATACTCATCTCAGTGCTATTTAACATCTTTATAAATGACCTAGAGAATGGAATAGAAGATAAGGTCATCAGACTTACATATAATAATATTTTAAGGAATAAAAGCACAACTTAAAATGATCTTGACAAGGTTGTTCACTGGATAAAATGCAATACTGTAGAGTGCTCAACTGTGACAAATAAATGGTCCTGTATCTGAATAGAAAAAAAACCAAAACCACAGATTGAAAGGACCTGACTTGACAAGCAGTATATATGAGAAGGATTTAGGAATTCTAACATATCACCACCATGAACAAGCACTATGATGCAACAATGAAAAAAGCAAGTTAACAAAACTATTGGGTTCAGAACACGGGAGTAATAAATCTCTTATACTTCATTATTACGCCCAATTTTGGACACCACACTTGATGTATGGTGACTGTTAAAATAATGGGGGGGGGGGAACCTGCCTAAACTCCCTCTCATTGGAAGTTTTCAAATAAGTACAGGACATGTCAAGATTGGTTTAGTGGATTCCTCCCTTCAAGTGGGTGATTGAACCAGATGTTTTACAAGAGCCATCTACCTATATATTCTACCATTCTAAAGGAGACTTTTAATCCTTAGAACAGCATCTTTCTCAATCCAAGAGTAGAATTCACATGCCCTGAGATAGGTTCTTCACCCCCTTTTTCTACACCATTAAGGTTGTTTTAGATTTTGTCTAAAGAGGTAGGCTTCGTTTCTCCCTATATTGCGTAAAGGGGCAGAGGAACCTAGAACCCCACGGTGGAAATGCAGGCCATTCAGTAACACTAAATGCAGAATGTAAAACTGAACAAGTTCTGATTTGGATATTTTCAGCATGTATAATACAAATCTGGCCCCAGCACTACTGAGTGCAAAATGCTTGCAAATACTGTCTGCCAAGAACCAATAATATACCAACTATTTTTTGAAGAACAAAGCAGGCCTACTTATTGTTTCCATATGAAGTATTTTTCTAAAAAAGATCACAAATACAAGATATTCTCCAAATGCATTACAACATTAGAGCTATCTGGCAAGCTTTATGAAATGCTGTACATAAACTGCTAATAAATGTGATTCTGAATAGCCACAGAGGTTACAAAAAGCTATTAAAATTTACAAATTCACTGTTATCCTAAATCACATAAACAATCTCTAACATCACCATACCCTCTCTTGTCCATGTGACACTATAGTAAATTTCTGTAGCCTAATGTCATTGAGATGCACAGCATTAGAATGCCCATTACCCCTAAGTCAGAATAGAGGCCAACCGATGGGTTTCAAGAAGAACAATATTTTTAACAGGAAGCAGTTCTTCTAAACTGATTTATCAAACTGAGTCTTACACTGAATTGCTACTTGTGTTTTTCATGCAGTTCATTTGTTTATAAATATCAGTTGTAAGCTTTCAAACGCACACAAGTAACATGGCTGAGTGGTACATTCTTTCCCAAGTAGTTATCCTCATTTCTGATATAGATTTATCACAATTAATTTCTTTTGTTTTCATGTGACCAGAGGTGTCCATTTGGATGCTTTGTTGATTGTGTTCTCAACTTTAACACAATAGGAAAATAAAATGCCACAATTTGGGATTGCAGAGCGAAGTGGAATTGAAAACCAAGGCCAGTTCACATTTAATGCCAACTAGTATACATCCTTCTGAGGTTACTAGGCAAGGTTTAACAACATTTACCTCGATCCATAGAATACAACAGAACTCTGAATCAGGCACTTTAATTACTAAAATTTCATCCTACATTCCAACATCTGTTAGAGGAAACACTCATTTTCACATATCAGTTTAAAAGCAGGGAGGAACCGATGTTACAGCACATGATGGGAAATCAAAGATACATTTTTAGAATTAACAACATGCCCCAAGTGATATAGTACTGAAGTACAAAAGCTATGGCTTGTTTTGAAAGGAAATTGATTCTTTTTTTAGTAAGCCCACATATGGGATGCTTTTTTAATTACGTGCCAAATGTTTAGTACAGTTATGTGTTATTTTAACATACTTTCCCCTACCACTGAACATATTTGAATACTCATATTTCATTTATATTGATAAGTTTGAAATAATTGCAGCTCTTTCCATTAGTTCCATAACTGAAGATTTAGTCAGCTGTACTGTAAACACTGCATTCATGACAATAGTTGATAATTTGAAACTGTTATACCTGCTGTTAGACCAATAATAGCTCATTCACACATGTAAATAATCTCTCAGTACTGCAGATCATACAAGAAATAGTGGAATCACTTCAGAATATTTGCATAATCCCAATTAAACTATCAGATTTTAATTCTGTTTGAATGTGGGAGGTGTAGAAGGCAGGCTCTCCAGCTTGCTAGCCTGCTTCACCTGTCAGCAGTAAAGAAAAACTTCAAAGAGGAAAGGAGATGCATCCCGACATATGCAAATCAACTGAATATTTGTATCTTATCATACAATCAAAACTTGCTGACTGGATAAATTAACTGAGATGCCTCATGCATCTCTTAGACTGTATAGAAAACTTGCATGTTTTCCAACTCCTCAATTCCAAAAATATTTCATGAACGTTTTCCAAAACTCTAAAAAAATGATAAAAAACATAGAAAATTATGATCACTTAAGTTGTATGGATG